ATATAAAACTTATCTTCTGTGAAATGTTGTTTCACCACTACCACCCCCTTTTTTTGAGAAGGTTCAAAGCAGGAAGAAATTCTCTTTTTTTGAGTTAATTTGCAATCTGGACAACATTCTACAACTAAGATGCTGTCAGCCTCAAGATCTCTTCTACACCTTTTCTACTGCTATACTCACTGCTCTCTTTCAGCTGTCATTAGTAACGGGGGTGGGGGGGGAGGGGGGAATTGGAGGTGAAGAAAGCTGGAGGTGTTACATTCCTGTGCTGTAGATGAGAAGGAGGAGGGGGAGTATAAATTCTTGTCCTTAAGTTTCTATTTCCTTGCCTAGTTTTCTTTCCTTTTGCGCAGCTGCGAAGTTTTATCAAAATATGTCAAGGTCAACGGACAGAGGCCTCATCACCACCTGAAGATGCCCACATGATCATATTCAGAACTTTTAATTGGAAGAGTCTTTTGGACTTTGGGGGGTGGGAACAATCCCATCCCTTTGTATATGTGATCTGCGCGCCAAATTCTTTAAATTCAGAATCTTCCCTGTAGCTTCCACTTTGAAATTTAGTAAAAGAAAAAACTTTGCTCTAACCATTTGAGTCTGAGTGTTTCTTTCTTGGATTTTGAATGGAGCACAGACTGACAGATGCATAAAGACCTTGGGACTCAAAGGACTTGGAAATAATCCGCCCATTGAGAACTCCATATACCTTTATCAAATTATCAGCAAGGGAAAAATCATTAAATACTTAATTGGATAATAAGTCCATAAAAATTAAATCAAATTTAGATTTTGTTTGGGCCCATCTACTACTCTGGGGAGCCCAGATATCTACACAATTCTACTTAGAGTTTATTAAAGAGAAATTATTATTATATTTTTATCCCACCTTTTAAAATATATAACTCAAGGTGGTGAACATACCTAATATTCCTGTTTCCTATGTTCCCAACAACAACTTTGTGAAATGGTTTTAGCTGAGAGAGGGAGAGGGAGTGATTGGCCCAGTCACCCAGTCAGCTTTCATGCCTAAGGCAAGACTCGAACTCACAGTCTCCTGGTTTCTAGACCAGCACCTTCACCACTACACCAAACTGATTCTCCTAGCATTAAATATTATACGTGGTCAGCACCTGAGAATGTATAGAAGACCTTTTCAATGGGAAGATGACTATTTGATCTTTAATCAAATACTTAATACTAGGTTTTTCCTCAAGATTAAAGCTGCTGGCTAAGTTTTAAAAATGGATCGGAGCACCATAAAAGAGTCCAAATTAAGCATAAAGAGTCATCCCAAGAGTAATATTGGAACTGCCATTCCCCATAGAATACTCATAGAATGATCTGTAGAAAATATAATGAGTTCAAAGCAATTAATCAGGATACTTTCTGTAATATTCATTTCAGTGTAAAACTTTCTGATGAGCTCTTCAGCATATATGTTGATAATCAGTTCAACCAGTTCAATTATTCAAAAATAATTATGCAATTCAGGTAACATTTGCAAAATTTAGTTTTCAAATGTATTTCTCCTTATAAGATAAGATAAGATAAATTTATTGTCATTGTGCTCAGGAACCTGAGAACAACGAAATAAGGTGCTCTTTCGCAACATACAACTAAACAACACCAAAAGATGTATACAAATAACAATATAAAACAAAGCAAATAGCAATTTAAAAACTGTACAACCAGGATATATGTGTTAAGACCACCAGATTCATAACTCTGCATTTAACCTGATCACAGCACTTGGGTAAAAGCTATGTTGAAATCTACTTGTCTTGGCTTTCAGCACTCTATATCGTCTTCCTGATGGTAGGATCTCAAACATCGGGTGGCCTGGATGTGAAGGGTCTCTCAAGATCTTTTGTATCTTCCTTCTACATCCCATGTTGTACAAATCCTCCAATGAGGGAAGAGGACATTCGCTGATCTTCTGTGCCCTTTTTATCACTCTTTGGAGTGCCCTTTTCTCCGCCTCTGTACAACTCCTAAACCACACACAGAGGCAATAAGATAAAATGCTCTCTATAGAGCTTTGATAAAAGGCAGGCAACAGACTTTCTGGCAGTTGTTGTGATCTTAAAAGTCTTAAAAAATACAGTCGTTGATGAGCCTTTTTTTCTAGGGCTAAAGTATTTGCCCCCCATGTTAGATCCTGTTTCAGGGTGATACCTAAAAACTTACATTCTGCCACCTGTTCTACCAAAACACCATCGATGTACAACAGCTGAATGTCCGAACTGCTCTTCCTGTAATCCACTATGAATTCCTTTGTCTTATTTATATTAAAAATAAGATTTTTTACTTTGCACCAGAGGGACAGCTGATGAACTTCATCCCTGTAGGCAGACTCATCATTATCAGAAATGAGTCCCACCAACGTTGTATCATCTGCAAACTTAATGATCTTATTACTCAGATGAATAGAGGTGCAATCAGACGTATAAATAGTGAATAAAAGTGGACTCAATACACAGCCCTGAGGAGTGCCAGTATTGAGGATCTTCGCAGAAGAGATATGTCCATTCATCCTAACCTTTTGTGAACGATGTGATAAAAAGTTTAGAATCCACCAACATATGGAGTCCGGTAGCTTCAGATCTTTAAGCTTAGACATCAATCTGTGGGGTAATATTGTGTTGAAAGCAGAACTAAAATCAACAAATAATATTCTGACATATGTTCCTTTTTTCTCCAAGTGAGATAGAGCAGTATGAAGAACAATATTGACAGCATCCTCAGTAGATCTGTTTGTTCTATAGGCAAACTGATAATTGTCAAAGGTAACAGGAAGGCAAGAAATAATATATTTCCGAACTAACTGCTCGAAGCACTTCATTATCATAGAAGTCAATGCTACCGGCCTGAAGTCATTTAAAGCATTTGCAGGTGACTTCTTAAGTACTGGAACAATTATTGCACGCTAATCAACAATAAAGTATTAAATTCAGGCAGTTTTGAACTAGAGTCATCGTCAAAGAGCAGCGGCGGCAATCAAAAAACCGGAAAGTAGTCATCTTCGATTGGCTTAAAAACGATTCTCCTCCCGTGGGTGGACAGACCTCGTTGGAAAATGGCTGGAGGAAAAGCTGGGAAGGACTCCGGGAAGACGAAAACCAAGATGGTATCCTGGTCACAGAGAGCCGGTTTAGAGTTTTCTGTTGGTCGTATTCACCGGCAACTGAAATCGAGGACAACAAGTCATGGGCGTGTGGGGGCTACAGCTGCCGTGTATAGTGCCACTATCTTAGAGTACATCACAGCTGAGGTTCTTGAGCTGGCAGGGAACGCATCTAAAGATTTGAAGGTAAAGCGAATTACTCCTCGTCATTTACAGCTTGCAATAAGAGGTGATGAAGAACTGGATTCATTAATCAAAGCAACAATTGCTGGTGGAGGTGTAATTCCACATATTCATAAATCCCTCGTTGGGAAAAAAGGTCAACAAAAACAGTTTAAAGGATTACTTATTAGAACTTTCAAAAAGCTATGTTGTCCATTGTTAGTGGATTTCCAATGGACTTCATCTGTGAAATACAATTTTGCCTTTCTTTAATCTTGAAGATGGAACCCATCAAGCTTTCTAATCAAAATTCTGCATTGAAGTCTTAATCTTATTTAAGTGTTACATGGCTTCAGAGAAGCTATTGTCTGTAGTGGTTCTTGACTGTTTTAGATATGTTGGATTTTAATGGGATTCTTGACATTGTGGCTAATATGTAATTTTTAATGCATTGAGTACATTTATTGAATTATATTATGACATTAAAAACAGATTTGGACATCAGCATTGCTAATTAAATGAAATTATAAAAACTTGAATTATAAAGCTTTGATGTTAATCTCTTGTAGTTAAGAACAAAAAGTTCCAAAAGGAACAAACACAGTGCTTATGTCTTGTACAGAATCTTAAGGAGTTAAATGAATGGATTGCTTTAAGGCAGTATGTTTGAACCATTTTTAAGATGCTGACAATGTGTATGATTAGTTAGGTCAAGTTCTTGAAAAGTACTTTACAGTAAGCTACGTATTTATATTGTTTGTTTAATTATTTGGTCCCTATTTCATGGAAGCTGCTGATCTTACTGAGTGCTAATGTGCATGCACTGTGCTAGCACACACATAGATTAAAACCCTTGCAAAAACTGTAAAAAGAAAAAAACACAAAAAACAATAAAGCATTAAATTCAGATTACAAATGGAATCTTTAAATGAGTGTTTATTTTTTTTTTAAAAAAAGGAACAATTAGATTTTTTTTTTAAAAAAGAGTTATTTTGTTACCTAGTTTCTTCGTCCTATTCTGTGTTCAACATAAGTTCATTTACTCGATTTGGAAGATTTGATCTTCTTTATGTCACAACGTTGAAGAATCAAAGTTCCATTTTCAAATTTTCCCACTCGTCCTGTTGGCAATATGTTTGGTTTTGTTGTCTTCTTGGATTTTCTGTTTTTAAAAAAGAAAACGTATTTATGTATATGTGCATGTTTATATAGACTGATTTTTATTACAGTGCTGACTCTTTGTGACCATATGGGTAGATTTTTGTGATGTTTTTATATATACATACAAAACAAATGAAACTATACCTGCTTCTAGAACAGGGGTCCCCAAACTTGGCAACTTTTAAGACTTGCGACTTCAACTTCCAGAATTCCTCAGCCAGCATAGCTTGCTGTGGAATTCTGGGAGTTGAAGTCCACAAGCCTTAAAGTTGCCAAGTTTGGGGACCTCTGTTCTGGAGTTTGGCAATTGTATTTTAAAAATATATATTTTAATCACAACAATTGTTTCAACATTTTATCCTGAAAATTTCAAACTATCAAGAGATTCCTATTGCTTCTGAAACTGAACCACTGTTTTATATTTGCCCAGTCCCATTTAGTGACAAACATTAATTATTTCTCCTTGCACTTCACACACAGGAAAAAAAAGAGAGAAAGGCTAAAGGCTCAGTCATTTAATGCCCAAACTACAATATTGTTTAGCGCTAGATATGAAAAAAGCTTAATAAGTACAACTAAAATAAATACAAAAATAAATCCAATTTATTACACTTTGTTTATATTAGATTGAAATCTTGGCTCACCTCTCTTCATGCCCTTTCTTTTTTCTCCTCTTCAGAGAATCAGATTTATTTTCCTGATAATGAAAATAGGAATAGGAGCATGAATATTCTAATTGGTCATTTACCACACTTTCCATAAATCAGATATGGTTCCCAAATATAATGGAAACTGACTTCAATTTGTTGTTAGAATTTCCTGTAGCTAAATGGTCAGGTCTTATTGGAAACCATTGTACTAGAGCTTTCCTACTTGATTTTACGTTTTATTTTTAGATGAAATATTTCACACAAACCGTCATATTTTCTCTCTTCTTTGCTGCTTGTTTTCCTTTGATTTGCTCTTGAAGAATTTTGTAGTTCACATATTCCTTTTTCTGAGGCTGCAATAAGATTTTAATAACTCTATTTCAGTATTTTGTAAAAAATACACCCCCAAGAAGAGAGGGAAAAGTTCATAGTGATAATAAAATCATGCATAATGATGGTTCTTTAAATGCTAACATGATTCAATTTGATGCTTTCAATAGAAATATGGTTAAAATAAGTCTTATCAATGAGGAAGCTATGATCTTTAGGAATATGGCTATTTATGAAATGATTAGCGATTCATAATCACTGTTCTCATTTCTTTCAGAAGATGGGATGCTTTGAGACAACATTTATGTAGATAATGTTTGACAGAAATGCAAACACTACCTTCCCTATTTCCTAAGTCTTAATTTCTGGCAGTACAAATTCAAGAGGCATTTCTGGCAGTACAAATTCAAGAGGCAAAAAGCTGTATTACATAAGATTTCTAAATATGTTCAATAGTAAAGCAACATTTTAAAACAATTATGCAACCACTCACATTTACATATTAAGAGCTCCCATATATATTAGTGGATAAGCTGGAAATATCAAGTGCAATACACCCCCAAAATTCAGGTTTGATGTTTGTGGATGAGCTTATCCTCAAGTGTATACGGTAATACTTCTAAAAAGTATTTTAAAGTGCCGTATTTCTTTTATGTACTGTATTTGTGGATAAGTCCATCCACAGATAAGCCAACCTTTGGATTTTTAACCTAAAATACCATAAAAAATGTGTGTTGATTTACCTATGGGCGGTGCATTTTTCATACTTCAATTAAAAATTCAAGAGCTGGCTTATACCCAAATATATTCAGTACTACTAGTTTTGAAATTTTAAAAATAATTTAATACAGAAAATCTGGATGAAGAGTGCTACATTGCTCATCCACAATTTATTTCTGAAATTTCAAACCTCTCACTGCCATTTTTCCTCCATTTGAAAACAGCAGCAACAACAACCAGCCAAAGGCTTTGGCAATGGGAAAGCTTTAAAGTCTCCTCTTCTGTAAATTATCTCTCGACTCACAAGAAAGTGTCATACCTTGGCCCCCAACCTGACAGCACGTTCTTGCTCCAATACTCTCTGTTCTTTCTTTGTAAATCCTGTAATTCCAAGCCGGCGCACTTCCAAGCGGGCCTAAAGCATTTGCAAATACATTTGATTTTTTTTTCCTTTGGTCTTTTGTAATTCTGCTTTTCAACAAACATAAGCATACAAGCTGAAGTTTCACAAGAAACGCATTTGAAGAATTGCATAACACATCATGCCATCCTGTTTCATAAGCAGATGAAACATTCCGTACCTGCTTTCACAGACAATAAAAAACTTGAGGGATTTTTTTTTTGAGTCAACAATTGCCAGATTCATATGTTAACTGCAAAATGTGATTTCAAATTTTGGTCCTGGACAATCGACAAACTGATACAATACAGACATAAGAATGTAAACTGCATCATAGTAGATCTTTTTATATTATTTGCATAATTTAGATCACTTCCTAAAAGGCAAAGCTCTGTAACGGCTTGTGAGAATGTCCTTGAGAGATAGGAAGAGGAATCAGAGAATAGGTAACAGTCAGATAAGCTGCATCTTAGGGGGATGTGTGTGAAATCCAAATTCCAGCAGTTGATATAACTTATATCATTTGTGTCACTGTCTAATTGTAATAGTCTGTGAGAATATCTTTCAGAGAAGCGGGAAAAGGAATAAAAGGCTAAGTCAAGTAAGAGGTAGCTTTGTCTAATAAACCAGACTTTTGACAACTATTTAGAACGGTCTGCAATATTTGAGACCTGAAACCAGTCATGCCCTCAGACACTCTTTATTAAATGTTTGACATTAGAGAGTTTCCCAGTGGCAAATCTATCACATGCTTCTAGTTTCTTAAGATACCCAAAATGAACAAAGAGAAGGACAGCAATCTGTATCTGAAATGAATGAACCGTCACATCAAAAATCTGGATGGAAACCTGAAATCCCGCATAGAATAATACTCCAGAAAATGGAATCCCAATCCCTGCCTATCCTCACATTCAGTATCTATCTAACACACAGAAAGTTCTTGAGCTTCAAATATTAGGAGGCCCACTAATAAAAGAATTTTCCATTTAGCCAGAATGTTCAGGTGATGATTGCCATGGTCTTATAAATAATGAAAGCTCAGTTTGGGTTTGGGTTTCAGGCCTAAAATATTGTAGACCTTCCTTGATAGTTGTGGAAAGTCTGGTTTATGGGGGGGAAAAATGGTAGGTTTGGGGCCTGGTTAATGATCTATGGACAATTCTATCTTTTAGCCATCAGACTATATGTACATCAAATTAACTTACTTTTTCCAAGCGAAATTCTTGGGTGTCCATACATGGTTCTTCAGCATCCATTTTTGCCTAGGTACAATTTAAAACATAAAATAGTATGTTTTGCTATTAAGTAAGATTTTTCAAATTATTTCCTATCGACGGCTTAAGATTGAACTTTGTTAGAGCAAGATGTTTCAAATATGATGATGGTTACAGAACTCTGAATATAGAAAACTACATTATTTAAACAAACACATTAATGCTCTATTATAGATTAATCTGACAGCAAATCTCAATTCAATGGGACTTTTGAATATGCACGATAGACATGTACAAAAGACATGCTCTGGATCTTTAAAAAATTGAATAGGGTATCCATAAATATTAATTTTAAATACTTTGCTTTATTGTCTGGTAGCTTTTGTAACCTACACTTTCCTGATAAAAAGTTGTAATTCAAGTATACAACACATAAACAGTAAGAATTTAAGTTACAGAATATAAGAATTTAAACAAGAACATTATAAAGCATGTAATATATTTTATTATAATGAATTGAAAAATTACATGCATGTAAATTTGTAGAATATGCCCTTTAACACCTGCCACCTGGAAAACAAAATGTATTAGCTTGTCTGCTGAAAAATGAAGTAACTAAAATATAATTATGTACACAAAAACCTTGATTTTCCCTATGAGAACTTACACATCATGTAAATATAACTTAAACGTGTGGGCCTAAAGAAAAAAAATGAAGAGATTAACAATCCTGATATAGATTCCATTTTATTCTCATTACACAAGCCAGTTTGGTATAAGAATTAATCACTAGTCTAGAATTAGGAGATTTGAATTCCAGTTTCACCTTAAGCACAAAAGCCAGTCATTCTCTCTCTCAGCCCTGGGAAGGAGACAATGTCTAACCACTTCTGATAAATGCTGCTGAGAAAATTTCAGGGACTTGTCCAGCCATTCTCCAAGGAGTCAAGACTGACTTGAAGGCACCCAATTCCAGCAAAATCTTATTATATCCGAGAGCTGTAGAGCATGGTGAAAAATGAACTAACTATATCATTGAACGTGGGAGGAGAGCCTTACCTTATAAAAGTCTTTGTGCAAAGCTCAATTCAGTTGATAAATGATTCAATTAGCTGTGCCCCAAACTAAAAGGAAATCTCAAGGACACAAATAGTTGGTATAGATTCAGCCTGTAACCAAATCTGATCAGAAAAAGGCAACTTATTTAGCAATTATGATGTAACACCAAACAGGATGAGAACACAAATACTTGCCCTAATTACATCCAGCAATCCTGTATTAGCATTTAAAATGTTAGTATTGCACCATTTTCACAGCATTAAATATTCATTAGCATGTGCTCCTTTACCTTCCTCAGGGACACTGTGAGGAAACGTTTCATTTGTTTCCAATTTCTTTTAGTCACAAGTTATTATGCAATCCAATTCCTTGACCATAACTAATCTTGTGGGATCCAATCTGGGTCCGACACTGTAACCAGAAGTTTAGTCTTCTGAGTAAATAACTAATCTTAACTTTGTCAATTCAAACATGGCAGTATCATGCTATACAAGCTGGATCTAGAACAAACCCTTCTAAAAGAAAACTGCAGGAAAACTTCCAACACAACAGGCCGTTTCTGCTGGTAGAATAGCGAAAAAAAATACCTCAAGATCAATTCCCTCTCCAGTACATGGGGGATATGCAACTAAAGAGAAAAATCTGTGAAAAATGGCTTTTCCACGATGGGAACATTTTGACTGAACTGAGCTCTTTTTTGCTGGGTGAACTATTGGAACAACAAAAATGCATTCAATTTAAAGCCATTTTTTAAAATTAAAAAAAAAAAACTGCAAGTAATCCTTGAGTTAGGACCACAATTGAAACAAGGGATTCAACCTGTGTTACTATCGGTTGGGTGATTACGTTTTGCACACGAGTATAAAAAACCTTAAGCTGGGCCGCCCAGACAGCTGAAAAGTGCTGTGCGTGGGTGCACAGCATTTGAAAAGCCACTTTTTTCCTGCTTTTTCAACCTCAGCTGTGCCGTGCAAAACAGCTGAGGTTGAAAAAGCAGGAAATAAAGGACAGGTAAGAGCCCAGGCGGGTGGGTGGGCCAAACAGCAGTAAACACAGAACTGGTTCAGTGTCTGCTGCTCTTCAGAGGTACCGGTTCTATAGAGCCAGGCAGAACCAGTAGCATCCCAACCCTGAATTGAAACCAGAATTTCGATTGCTAAGCAAGGCAGTTGTTAAGTGAGCCACCCACAATTTTTTGGCTGTGGCTGTTAAGGGAAACACTGCTGTTAAATGAATCATGTGTGGCGTTAAGCGAGTCTGGTTTCCCCCATGGATTTTGCTTATCAGAAGCCAGCTGGGAAGATTGCAAATGATGATCACATGAGCCTGGAAGGCTGCAATCATCCTAAATACATGCTGCCGGTTGTCACTGCCCCAAATTCTGATCACACAATCATGGGGATGCTGTGACGATCGTAAGTGTGAGGAACGGTTGCAAGTCATTTTTTTGAGTGCCCTTGTAACTTCAAATGGTCATTAAGTGAAGGGTGGTAATTTGAGAACTACCTGAAACTGCACTATAGACAAACTGTTGTTCTATATTTGGATATAACAAAGAACCTGAGTTAAACTAAAAAAGAACACAATCTTCTGAATCTCCTCCTTATGACCGCACCTAAATATCAGAGGAGGAAGGAGATGCCCATAGCTCAGAACAATATGGGCCTTAAACATCAGGTTGTTTCACATGATAGGAGTGGCTTATGGTGGCTTACCTGTTTTTAAGTTCTCTAAGGCTAAGCCAAAAAGAGTAGCGTGTTAAGCAATAAAACAGGCAACACTTTCAATCTTTTTACCATTAGCCACAGTACTCAAAGTTAAGAGAATGCTGGGGAGCGTTAAGTAAGTAAGAGTAAGTAAGGCTGTGAATGATTTTGGAGTTAAGAAGAAAACGGTTTCCTTTCTGCATGGCAGGTTGAAATTTTGGTTTATTTAAACTGTTTGCTTTAGGAAGGTTACATTTCTTGGGTGCTAATGAAAACATTGTGATCATGTTGCGCTTTCTTTCCCAAAAAATCACGAAACACAAGTGTGCATTGTGCAAGTGCATTACCGTGGTGCAATAGTGCTGAGGAAGGAGCTTTGATTTTTTTTTTCTTGCTGTTACTGTATTGTTGAAGTGAATGTGTTGCTGGCCTCGGTTTTGTTGCTGTTTAAGCAGACCATTTAAGTACCGTATATACTCGAGTATAAGCCGAGTTTTTCAGCCCATTTTTTGTGCTGAAAAAATCCCCTCGGCTTATACTCGAGTCAGATTCCCCTCTG